AAACTACTGCCATCAAAATTTAGTTTAATGACGCCTGCATCATTAGGCTTCCAATCCACCACCGGCTTGCTTCTGATTGCGAAACTTATAGCTAGTTGTTCCCAATTTCTCCTTATGTCATCAAAAGTGTAGCTAGTTGTTCCCAATTTTTCTTTCAGCTTTTGTAGTTTCTTCAAAAATTTTTGTCCTTCCCATTTCGGGTCTTGAAGTTGTGTTTCCGACCACTCTCTAACCTTTTCCTTAAACACTGGATGAGAAAGCCATATTTTCAAATCTGAACGGGGTAGGACCTCCTAATGCACTACGTTGGAAAGAGGCATATAGGCCAATGATCCGAGGTAATTCTTGGCAAAGTAACACCCAGAATACCACACCAATATTCTTTCCAATCCAAGGATTACCTGGAGCATATAGGATTTATTTGGAGGTTTGACCATGTGAACCTGAATAATCCCAAAGATATTTCTTTCGGCTCAAATCATTAAATCTTCTCATGCTGGTGGCCACCTTCTGTCTTGCATTGTTTGACTCACTGGCAAATCCAATTACATTGAAGTCTCCTCTTGGACACCAAGGTCCCTCCCAAATCCCCCTTACATCTGCAAGTTCATCCCGCATCAAGTTCCTTTCCCTTTAAGAGTTTGGCCCATAGACATTCGTAAGAGCCCAATAAGTATTTAGGTTACAAGGTTATGTTAATGCTATTTTGTGTGTGTGTTTGTGTTTTTTTTTTTATTAGTAAATATGTATTTTATTAAAATTCAGATTGTAAGCAGTTTATACAACTTGATGATGAGATTGCTGATCCCCTTTAATCACTCTATTCACCCCTCATTACAGTGTAGCCCAAAATAATTGCTATCTCAATGCTCCTTGTTTTGCTAACCCATCAGCTAGCCCATTTGCACTTCTTCGGATCCATTTAAATTCAGCCTCAACCTCCTTTGCAATTTTCTCTACTTCCCTAATCACATGTTTAAACGTCCATGGGGTGTGGCTGCTATTTGTTGCCTATGAAATTACTACTTTTGAGTCCCCTTCCACTTCAACATGTCTGCATCCTAGTTGTTTGGCTAACTTTAACCCTCGTAGTAATGCCAATAGTTCGTCCTTCAGCGAGTTTCTGTTGCCAATCGGTCCTAAGAACATGCCCAATATCCTCTTGTCGGAGTTTCTTAATACTCCTCCTATTCCTGAGATGCCTGGATTTCCATATGAGCACCTGCCAAAATTCAGCTTTACTTTATTGCCTTTAGGTGGTTTCGACTCCAGCCTTACTTTATCTCTTACTCTCGAAGATTGTGCTACTTTGGACCATGTTCTTAGAATATCTGCGACTGAGAAGACTTGAAAGCAGTCCAAGAGTTTTACCCAATGGGCTACTTTCACCTTGATACTATCAATCACTTCCTCTACTGTTCTACTTTTTTTCTAAGAAAATTCTGTTGTTTCTCTCTTCCCATATTACCCAACAAATTGCTGCCTTCGTTGCTCTACACATTACCATCCCTCTTTTCTTTCTCTGTCTCAAGAAATCATGGTTGAAGAGTCTTGCCACATCTTGAGGGGGAGCCCACCTGTAGCCAAAGAGAGTACAAAAGAATTCCCAAATTCGATGCACAAAGGAACATGATATCATTAAATGGGAAAGGGTCTCACCACTTTCCTTACACAATGAACACATGAGGAGAAAGGCACATATATGGCCTTCTTTTCTGCAGCATATCACAAGTGTTTACCTTACCAAGGAATACTTCCCAACAGAAAGCTTGGATCTTCGGGGGACTAGGCTTGCACCAGATTACTTTCACAGGGAAAATCCCACCTAGAGGGTTGGGGGAAGCAAGTACTTTGAAGAAAGAGGAGCAAGAAAAGAGGCCGTTTGGAGAGCCTACCCAGATTCTAGAGTCTTCCAATGAAGGATCCAAGTGGATCTGCCCTAAGAGGTTCAACAAGTGGGTTAAGGATTCACACTCATTTTCTCTTAGTCCCTTTCTAAAGCCCAAATTCCAGTTCACACCAGTTGGACACGGTGATCCCAACATGGATATAGCTTCCCCCTTAAGGTTAGATAGTGCAAGGAGATCAGGGAATTGGTCTTTTAGTGGGGTTTCCCCTACCCATAGATCTTCCCAAAACAGAATTCTATTACCTTGTCCCACATCGAACTGGATGGAATTGAGGAAAGTAGGGTAGATTTCATGAATTGCTTTCCAAGGAGAAGCCGAGGACCTGTGAGGGGAAACTTTTGCATCCCAGCCATTTCCAGCCATCCCATGAATGCTCTCAATCACTTTTTGCCACAATCTGTCACCCTCAAAGGGAAACTTCCAAAGCCACTTACCTAGTAGAGCTGTGTTCCTTAAAAGGATGTTCCCAATTCCCAAAGCCTCTTCCAAAGGGCTAACTTCCAAGCAAACCTTTCTAACACTGGTTTCTAGAAACCAACTGACTTGGGATTTCCTCCTAAGGGTAAACCTAGGTAACTAATAGGCCAGCTTCTGATCTCACACCCCAAGATTTCCGCAAATTTTATTAGTTCTCATTCCTCCAAATTGACCCCTACAATTCCACTTTTGGTCCAATTTATCCTCAGGTCTGTCACTCCCACAAAATTATTCAGCAACACCCTCAAATTTTCCACCAACTCCTCATTGTTTCCTTCACAAAAAAATATGGTGTCACCTGCAAATTAGCGATGGGTAACAATTACTCGGTTTCTACCTACCCTCCACCTTCTGATGAGGCCTTGAGCATAAGCTTTCGCCACCATTCTACTTAACACTTCTGCCACTAAGGTAAACAGGAATGGGGATAAGGGGGCACCTTACCTAATTCCTCTCCTGGAGGGGAAGAAATCCTTTGCTGTACCATTGATTAGGATTGAGTAGTGAGCTGAATTCAAGCATCCTTTGATCCAAACCCTCCATCTATCTCCGAATCCGAATCTTAATAAAACTTTTAGAAGGACATCCCAATTAACCAAGACATAGGCTTTTTCTAGATCTACCTTACAAACCAGCCCCTTTTCTCGACCCTTTCTTCTTTCCCCTATGCATTCATTAGCCACCAAGATTTGATCCACAATCTACCTTCCTTCTATAAAAGCTCCTTGAAAAGGAGAGATGATCAAGGGTAATACCTTTTTTAGTCTTTTTGCTAAAACCTTTGACAGAATTTTGTAAACACTCCCAATGAGACTTGTTGGTCTAAAGTCTTTAGGGGTTTTGGCCTCCCTCTTCTTTGGAATCAAAGTGATAAATGTGGCATTTGCTTGGTGATACCTCCCCTTTGGAGAAAAATTCATTAAAGACTTCCATGATGTGTGATTTCACCATATCCCAACACTCTTAATAGAAGGCCATGGAGAAGCCATCCGATCCAGGGGCTTTAGATCTGTCCATTGAAAAAATAGCTTCCTTGATTTATTGTAGAGAAAATCTCCTTTCTAGGAAACGAGATTGTTCTTTTGACAAAACATCCCCTTCCATCTTTGGCAATCCTGGCAACACTCCGTGTGGGATTGAGAAAATTTCTTTAAAATGATCTACAAAAATCATTGTAATCCTCTGACTTTCTCTTACCACTTGTCCCTCTTCCTCCACACTCAAGATTAAGTTCTTTCTCCTTCTAGTTGCAAGAGAGTGAAAAAACTTAGTGTTTTCGTTCCCCTCTGCAAGCCACTGACACCTTGATTTTTGTCTCCAACAAATCTCCTCCTTTTGTACTATCTCTTCAAGTTTTTGCTTTTGATTCTTTCTTTCTCCTCTTTCTTCTTCTGAAATGATTCTAAGTGCCTCTTTCCTATCTATCTCCACAATTCTTTTCACCAAGTTATCTTTTATTTCCTCTACCCTTCCGAAATGGTGAGTGGAATGTTTAGGATAAATTCAGTGTTTTAAAAGCGCAAGGTGCAAAAAAGGTGCAAGGGCCATATTGCACCTAAGGTGCAAGGCGCAAGGCGAGGTGTGCGCCTTTTTGAGGCAAGGCGCACAATTTAAAAAAAATGCAAAAAATTCAAAAAAAATGCAAAAGAAAATGCAAAAAATTCAAAAAAATAAAAAATTATAAAACATAATATTAATGAAAATATTAACTTAAGTTTTAAAATAAATGATTCAAAAAACCTATTATCTAAAAGTAAAATACATAAATATAATATGTAAAGCATATTCAAATGATAATTTAAAAATGAAATCAAACATATAAAACATTTTCAAGCATATAAAACCCACAATCTCTTTTTTTCTCAATTGCATCAAGTAGCTAATGTGATATATTACATTCCTAATTCTATGAGCCGCCTTTGTGCCACGCCCCCAGCCCAGTGACCAGACTCAAAAAAAGGGAAAAAGAAGCAAAGGCGCCTACCCTAAAATGCGCCTTGCCTGAGCGCCTAGGCGCGCCTAGGCGCGCCTTTTAAATCACTGGATAAATTGCTGGGATTTTCTTCTGTTTCTTGCTGACATTTATGATTTTGATTTGTTGTCCCCTAAGAAAACCCATCAATGCAGCCAGTTCTATGAATTGAGGAGTTTATTTTTTTATTTTATTTTTCTGGCATCTATCTTATTTGCAATAGCCACCATGTGTAAATTTGTGGTTTTGTTGTTTTCTTTCTCTAAGTTGTACCTTTCCTTCCTTTTCCTCTAATAAATGTTATCAAGATGAAAAAAAAAAGAGAGAAAAAGATGGGTTTGTCCTCTTACTTGTTGGTTTAGCTGGAAGAAATCCAAGATAATATGTTTTAGCCTTTTTTCTCGATACGTTTGTACATCTCTATTAACAGAAGGGTCATTGGTTGATTGGTATCTGAATTCTGTCTATAATTTAGAACATAAACCACACATTTTTTTCTTTATTTTTTAATAATAGCTAATGTAATTAATAATTCTTCCCATTAAGTTTTTTCACTCATCACCCTTTAATGAAGCAGGAGATATGCTGTTTTGCCATTTAACTGCTGAGACATAATGGCTTATACTTGATGATATGCACAGGCTTTAAACAGGGCTGGTGGTAAATCTGGAAACAAAGGTGCTGAGGCTGCTCTGACTGCTGTAAGTTGATTGTGATCGTGATTCTTACTGTTAGTATTATCACTATTATTCATGTGCTTCTGTTTTATGGTTGAATAAACAAAAAGATTTAATGAGAGGGAGTGGGACTGTGTAAGAAAAATAGGAAACATGTGGCAGAGAAAGAGCATTGGTTAAAGCACCTAAAGGAGAGACGATACAAAGAGAAGGAATTACTTTTCGTGAAACAGTACTGTATCTGCTTAGCTAAAATATCTGCATCTTTATTTTCTGAACTCACCCAAAAGCAAGTAAAATAGTCATAGATAGCACTATGGCCAGACTTCTTTGATATCATCAAACATCCTCCATGAATCCTTTGATCCTTTTCCCCAACTTCAGGAGATACCAGAATCGGCTTCTCTTGACATGTTTTCCAACTTTAGCTCCTTTCCAAATTTAAGACCAGAAAGGAAAGAGTTTTTGAGTGTTATTGGAGCCAATAAACCAAGAGCGCTTGAATTAGTGTTAGAAATGTAGAAAAGAGTTAGCAAACCATACCTGGGAATTCCCTTCTGCTTTCTTCTCCATATGAGTAATGTTTCAAAAACTTGAAGAATTTTAGGCAAAATATATGGTGCTTGGCTAATAGAGCCTATAGGTGGTTGCATCAGTTTTTGGAATGACAGGGTGGTGTGTTGGCAGCCCCTTGATGGGGAATTGCCATGTATGTTCACTTGTTCAGTGCAGTAGTACACAAGGAAGCAATTGGTAATAGTTGAAAAAAATTGAGGTGTTGGATGGGGAAATAATCTGAACATCAGACTTCGTTGAATAGTTTTGATAGTAAAATAAAATTAAAAGAAGGAAAAGTGTACAAAAAAAAAAAAAACACAAACAGGAAGCCAGATGCTATAAATAAGATGGTCATTCTTCCATGCTCAAAACCACTTGACCAACATATCTTGGGGTCCTAGCCCTTGCAGCACAGGAAACACTGTTTTTTGTTTTTTTTTATTTTTTTCCTTTTATTTTAGACCCTAACCAATGATGTTTGGATCCAGGCCCATCCAAATTTTTATCCTCTATAGGCTTTACCTGATTTGACACATTTCCAACTATTAAACCCATTTCAACAGTATGGGGTCTAAGAAAGGATCCTGGAAACTTATGAACTTCAACCAATATGAATTAGTATCATAAGCTTGAAAATCCATTGAATCAATGCTTCGTGGTTCCTCCACTGCTCCACATTTCCCAATATAATCCCAAGATCTCCTTGAAGGATCATGGGCCTTTGAACATTTCTCCCACATCGACTCCTTGGTTATTTGAGAAACTTGAGATAAACCTGTTGCAGAGTCATCATGCACCGAGTCACTGACTAATTTGGACATGCAAACCAATGATTAATTCCTGAAATAGTAGGGTGTTGTCCCACCCTTCTATCTAGACCTGTTCATGGTCTGGGCTGGGCCGGGCTTTATCAGTTATAAACAGAAAATGTCTGGGCTCGAGTCTGAGCCCAGCCTGATCATCAGGCCTATTCTTGAGCATGAGTCCCCAAAACCCTATCTGAATAGGAAGTAACATTACTAATATATATTTTTGTTATATATAATGTTATTGGGCTAGGCTTATCTAAGAATTTGAAGCCCAACCTGAAAAATAATTAGGCCTGATGATATATATAGCCTGAGCTTGGCCCTTATATAAAGCCCAAAACCCTATCTGAATAGGAAGTGAATATTATTAATATATATTTTATTATATATAATATTATTGGGCCAGGCTTATTTAAGAATTTGAAGACCAGCCTGAAAAATAACCAGGCCTGATATTTACAGCCTGAGCCCAAGCCTGCGGGCCTCAAAACATGCTCAAGCCCAAAGAACGGGCTGAGCTGTGCAAGCCCACTAGGCTACCTTTCCCATGAACAGGTCAACTTCTATCTGAACCATGCTGCACATGAAAATCATTTACTCTGTAGTCCATTGCTTCCTTCCGGCCATTCATAAACTTCGCCTTCCACTGCCACCTGTAGTGTATGGGTTGGCCTCCCAGTCCAAGGCCTTCGTTGTGTGTAAACTGTTGTCCAAGATCATAATCCATACTGAATCAATGTAAAGAGTGGAAAACCAAACTTTATGCCTTCTAAGAGGCCAAATTTTGCTTTTCCTCCCCAACTAGAAGAACAAACAGCCCAAGGACAACTTTTCTTTTGTATCTCATTTCCGATTGAGAGTTCTATTGCCAAAATTGACCTGATCTATAGATTTAATGTTTCTTTCTTCTAGAGTTCTGGACTGCCATATTGGCAATACTGCTTTTGTTCAGGCTGCTGTTAAAAAAATGTTAAAATGTGTAGTTTACTCTGTCATCTGATTGAGTCGGGTTTTAGAATGGGAGTCCGTAGAATTGTTGGAGCTCCACTTGTATCGCCTTGCACTACTGCTCCGAAAAGATAGAGGATTGTGTCATGTTGACAATCCAATATGAGTACTTGGTATAATTGTTTGACTGGTAATCTTGGCATTTCCATTTCACAAGGCATAATCATATGGAACCAAATTTGAGATCTTCCCAACAGGGAATTTTTGACATAAAAAGAGAAAAATGTATGTATGGGAAATTCTTTTCTTTATTTGTTTATTAGTTTCTGATATATTTTAGGTTTGGTGCAGATTGAAATGGCATCATTATTTGAACATCATTTGGAGGGTTAACATTTTGAGATTGTAAAAGTATCATGAGAGGTTATCTGGCTTAACCTCAAGGAGCTACAATCAGGTTGTTTCTTTAGATTCTGGGACAGAATATTCCATGTTCCTGAAAACTGAATTTCCTACTTCCTAATGCTACATGCGGTTTTAATGGTTAGTAGGACCAAATACTTTTCTTGATTTATTTTTTTATTTTTATTTTTGCAATGGTTTGCACCTTATATTTTATAATAAAAGCAAACAAGCATGCCAACGTTTGGGAGTGATCAAACTGGTTCTTACTTTATTTAGATTGACTAGTAGTTCCACAGTTGATACTTGATAGACAATTATGGACGTTACATAATTCAAAATATTATAGCTCGGCATGGCCCACGGCCCTGTCGTGCCGGCTTGTGGTCCATCCCAGGCCGTGCCTCCCTCCCTTGGGATGTTTTGGGGGGTTAGCTTGGCATGGCCCATGGCCCAAGCCTGCGTGGGCTTGTGCTGTGTCGTGTTGTGTCAAGAGCAGGGCTGGTCTGTGGGTTGAGCCTTAGGCCAGACCAAGCCGTGGACCGGACCAAAGCTATTTATCTAAAAAATTGAAAAAATCTTAAAATTTTATTTTATATGAATTTTGATGTATACAATAATTAAATAAAATAGTATAATAAAATTAAAAACAATTGTTTATTTTATTAATATATTATATACTATATAATACATATATAAATATATTATATATATAAATATATAAAATATATGTGGGCCGTGTCGGCATGTGGTCTGCAGGTTGCACGGCCCACTTGGTTGTGTTGTGCTGGCCTGACCCATAGACTTAAAACCCCAAGCCCGGCAGGCTGGCATGGCCTATGAACCATCATATTGGGCTGCGAGCGGCACGACCCAATTTACACCTCTACAAATACATATAAAATAATATAAAATACAAGGTTTTGTGCTTTACATATTTGTATTTGTACTTCTTCCAACGTGAGCCTTGTAAAATAATACAAAATATAAGGTTTTACGCTCAAAATAATACAAAATACAAGGTTTTGCACTCTATATATTTGTATTTGTACTCTTTTCAAATTGAGCCCCAAGGCTCAAAAAGGACTGTAAATAAGTTCATAATAAATACATGTTTTAAAAGTTTATATGAAGTTTGAGCTACTGGGATACATTTAATTAAGATTTAAGAGTTAGGGCATGCAGAATAAACCAACATAATTTTTTTAATACTTAAAAGAATGGTTTTAAAGTTTATGAAACTAGGCTAAAAAGTTAATCTTTAAAGCTATGCTGTTTTACCACTAAGTTGTAGTTTGTAGTGACATTTGCACTTAAGGTTGTGTTTGGTTGCAATGCAAGTAAATTTGCACTGATGCAAAATTATGGCAGTGCAAATGGTTTGAGCATAAATTCTGACCTATGTTTGTTTCAAATTTTAGCTTGTTTTGTTTGATTGCAGTAAAAATAAAATAGAATAAAGTAAAATTGAAAACAAAATTAAATAGGAATTTGCATTTTTTCATTTGCACGACCATGCATTTGTACTAATGTAAATAAAAGTGCACTGCAACCAAACACAGCCTAAGGTTCTGTTTGAAATACAAATATATAGAGTATAAAATTATGTATTTTATATTATTTTATATATTTGTATTGTACATATTCGTATTTGTACTCCTTCAAACTGAGCTTAAGCTTGGATTCGGAACTTCAATTGAAGAGAGCAAAATATAGAGTTAAAATACGCATGTATATACCTTACGAAACCAACATGATGCATGGATCATACGCAATGATATGAACTGGTTTTTGGGTCGTTGTGGTGTTTGGAACCAAATATTGTTTCCTAAGACATTTTCTTAGAAAATGGTGTTGCATAAGCATGCTGTTTTCATGGAAAATATTTTTTAGATTTTCTATTTGGCATCATTGCCGTTGCTGCCAGTCATATTTTAATGCCATATCAGTATATTGTTGCTTGCAACAATAGAAATAATGGAAAAACACCAAAATAAGGCTTTTTTCATATCACACCTTTTCTGATTTCTAAGGCATTGTCTGAGAAAACGTTTTTCAGAAAAATGGCTAACCAAAGATAACTGTTTTCTTAAAATATGGATTTCTGATGTGGTGCAGGTGATGTCTTTTTCTGAAGCAACTTGTTTAAGTGCTTCTTTAAATGATACATTACCATGGATGTGAGTTAAAAGAGTAATTTTATCCAATATTCTTTTAGGCTCCATTTGGTTAAGTTGCATTTACCTAGGAAACATTTACCTGGGTAAGTGCATTTTCTCATGATATTTTATTTCTCAAGTAAATAATCTAATGACCATTTTATCCATAAAAATCCATTATTAAAAGGGGCATTGTGTCCCATCTAAGAATTGACACCTTTTTCCCTAGGTCGGTAAAACTTTTCCACTTAGGAGATGGTTGTCACTTTTATTGATACCCAAGAAAATAAACTTTCTTTGATCTCCACATAAATATGAAAAAAGAACAAGGTTTCTTGGTCCCCCTCTAGAAATCCAAAAAACAAATACCCCCTTACGCTGTATTTGCTTTGAAGGAAAAAGTAGGGAAAAGAAATGAAAGATGGGGAAACCTTTACAAACCTTGTATGGGTTTCCCTACCTTTCCCTATCTTTTCCTTCAAACCCAAACATGGCCTTGGTGAAAAAGACAAAGGAATGACTGAGATAAGGTGTCTTGTTGGAAAAGCTCCAGACACAACCACCGTTTGTTTCAAATAAACAAGCTTTGGTAGATTTTAACTTTTTCGAATGTTAAGTGGTCAATTTAAGCTCTTCATATGCATTGACAATAGTAATGCACATTACTATCGCATTGTGGGTGGAACCAAGGTTCAAAGTATCGACACGTATATGCCCGTATTGACTGATATATATTGTATTGGGAGCACCCTAATATGCCCCTACAAAGGGTGTATCGGGGTTCTGATCGATTCAGGGGGTGGAGGAACCTTAAATCGCCCCTCTGAACCAGTTTAAAAAAATAAAAAAGAAGTAAAAAAAAGTACTGATACTGCCCAATACGCCCCTACTGACGTATCAGACGTGTCAATATTTAGAACCTTGAGTGGAACATTCAAAATTTGAATATGTATTGCAATTCATTTTATATTAGATAACTAATATGCATTTATATAAAAAAAAATATGCATCTATTAGTAAAGCTGGTTAGAAATGTAGTATATTTACTAAGGAGTGCAAGAAAATGTTGTGTAAAAGCTATCTTCCTATAGTATTCATGAGAGCTTGACAAAAATTTTAATTTAATATTGTGTAAAAACTATCATCACGTACTTTCATGAGAATTTGGTGAAAGTTTTAGTGTTGTATATTAGCATGATGCACCCTTTTTATTTAGGATTTCTAGCAGGTAAGGATAATTTTTTGTCCTGAATATCAATAAAAGATAATATTTTTATAAAATAACAAAAATAGGACAACTTTTTATAAAAATAATCAAGGAAGGGCAATGATACTATTCATCCTCTTCCTCTTCCTCTCCTCTGTATTCATCCGAATACACTGGTCCAGCCATAGCAAAATTGGTCGAGGGACATGGCTAACAGCAATCTACACGTCGTCATGGTTCCATGGTTGGCCCTCGGTCATCTGATCCCTTTTCTCCAACTTTTCATGGCTTTGGCCAAGGCCTGAATCTGCGTCTCCTTCATCTCCACTCCCAGGAACGTCTAGAGGCTCCCAAAAGTTCCTCCAAATTTAGCTGCTCTCCTAAGCTTTGTTGAGCTCCGCTTACCCACTGTTGAGGGCCTACCCCTCGGAGCTGAAGCCACCGTCGACGTCTCCATGGATGAAATCCAGCACCTCAAGGCGGCTTACGATCTCTTGCGCCATCAGGTCAAGCAATTCGTCGCTAATGAATCACCTGATTGGATCATCCAAGATTTCATCCCTTGCTGGGTGGCCAAAATCGCACGAGAATACGACGTCCCATTAATCACCTTCTCTGTCTACTCTGCTGCTATGCTGGGCTTTCACGGACCCCTGGAGTACCTTACTAATGACAGCCATGCAAAATACTGGACGTCACCGGAAAGCATGATATCTTCACCGGAGTGGGTCATGTTCCCGTCATCGGTTGCCTTCCGGCGCCACGAGGCAAACGCCGCATTTGCCGGGTTCTTTGGGCAAAACGCGTTCGGTATAACGGACAACGAGCGAGTAGTTGTAGCTGTTGAAGCATGCCAGGCCGTGGCCAGCCGTAGTTGCTCGGAGTACGAACCAGATTATCTGAACCTGGTCGAGAAGATATGGCGGAGACTGGTGATTCCAGTGGGTCTGCTTCCACCGGCGCCGAGCAGCACAGAAGCAAAGGAAAGGGAAGGAGATCGGGGCAAGATATTAAAGTGGCTTGATGGGAAGAAACCCAGAACGATCGTGTTTGTGGCGTTTGGTAGCGAGTGCACAGTCCGACACGACTCGCTTTGTCTCATTCCAGTGTATTCGGATGAATACAGAGGTAGAGGAAGAGGAAGACGATGAAAAGGAAGTGGATGAATTCAAAGGCAGAGGAAAGAGGAAGGCGATGAACAGTGTCATTGCCTTTCCCTAATATTTTTCATAAAATATTTCCTATTTTTATTGTTTTATAAAAATATTATATTTTATTGATATTCAAGACAAAAAATTGCCCTCAAACCCTTTTATTCATCTAGACTTAGACCGACAGTGTAAGACAAGCTCATACTAGTCAAGCTCAGGTCATATTCAATATTTCATGATACATAATCAAAATATTTTTTTTTTCAAATTTGCTTTTTTAATGATATATAGTATTCTGATAACTTTTATTTAATCAAACCAAATTTGGATCTGGGTATACCTAATTTGAATCATTCTGCTGCCCTAATATACATTAAAACTGTATTTAGTAGGGTCAGGATTAGAGGGACGTCGAGACTGCTTTCGTGTGGGTTTCCTTAACACGGAATGCCAACTAACCACTTTGGTCATGTTTCGATTAATAAAAAATAGGAGACAAACAAAAAGTTGAGGGTAATTTCCTAACAAATTTGATGGAATTCCTTTAAGGTTGAGTTTGATTGCAACACAAATTTATTTGCACTGATGCAAAATTTATAGTGTAAATGATTTGGATGCAAATTATGATTTACTTATTTTTTTTAATCCAAATTTTACTTTATTTTATTTTATTTCAGTACAATGAAGTAAATTAAGACTGGATGTAAAACCCCAAACAAAATTAAACTAACTTTTCGTCTGCACTCCCATGTATTTATACTAGTGTAAATAAAATTATACTGCAATCAAATGTAGACTAAAAAATTTCTCTCAATTTTCTGTTTATATCTTATTTTAAATCAAACCAAACACAGCCTTTAGGCTATAAAGTTGGAATATGATTAGGAGAACCTTTTCTAGCCATGTCAACTCAATATTCTATTCTTACAAGAACCCTCTCCATCCAGGTGGAAGAATGATTGGAGCAGTGTAAAGTGTAAAGTGTCTTATCAGACAATCAGCTTTCTGAACTTGTGTAGTCTTTAGCATCCTAGTGGCTTATTCTTTTCCCACAAGGCCATCAGCCATGTGGAGTGATGATTTGGCCAATAAAACTTGTCCACCAGACAAGCAGCTTTCCCAACTTGTCCACTGTCTAGAGCACCAGCCCATGTTGGATTTGGTCTTTTGGAAATATTTTGTCCTAGAGTAGAAGATTTTCCCCCTCATTATGCCAGCTGGAGTGTTTCCAATTTTTTATTTTTTCTGAGGTTCCACAGGGAAGAAATTTGTCGTTGATAAGTATGAAAAATGGGCTCTGCTTGCTTTAGGGTAAGTTTGGAAGTGGTTAAAATGATTATGAATAAGTATTTAATAAGCAGTTAAGCACTTATTTACATTTGAGAAATAAGTCTAAAATAAGTGTTTATTATGAGAATAAACACTTATTTGAGTAGCCTAAGTTTTGGGGTTATTTTTAAGTGTTTATTCAATAATTGTTTATTTCCTTTTTGACCTATCTTGACCTGTTACATCATTTTAAAAATACCTATACCACCTCTGTTTAAAATAAATCCTTTTTCGCCAAATGCTCATAACTACTTGTTAGAATAAACGCTTATTTTTCAAATAACCACTTCAAATTTAGCCTTAAAACTAAATCTTTGATTTAATGATGATTGATGATGGTCTCTATGATTTGATGGCTAAAAATGATCTATCACGGAGGCATCAATTAAGTGCAACCCCTGTACATTATCATTTATCACGTTCATATCTACTATTTAGGTGGGGTTTAATAAATCTTAAGTCTTATGTTTGAGAACAGTAAATCTGCTTTTCTGCTTTTTAGAGCCTCATTATGAGTCATTTGAAACACATTTGAAAACATTCCATTTATCAAGCATCTCCTATCAAATGAGACTGAACCTCTGAAATAGTTATTCACCCGGATGGTCGACTGTTCGGCCTGGAAATCATCATCCAGGCAATTGGTTTTGTTTCACCCTTAATTGGTCCTTGGTCAAAAATCATTGACTTGGCCAGTAATTTGTTGATCCGAGCAATTAAACTGTTGACCCAGACAATAGATTTTGGTCATTTTTTATTTTAATTTTTAAATTGGAATGGGCCGTCTGTTTGAACCAGATGATCAAATTGCTGACCCAGAAACTGGTGGTCAAAGCAATTCCAGTTCTACGTCAATTTTTAAAATAATCCCATTTCAGTGTTATCAAACACCACCTTATTCTTTAACAATTTTTTTTTTTTTTATTATTTTACTAGTAAATGAGAGCGAACATTTTGGGTCGTGGGAAACAAGACAAGGGCTCCATAACAGTGCTGTCTGTTATTCACATTGGGATGATTGGACCGGCCTCACTCAACGGGTTCGACCAAGGAGATTAAGTGGCATAAAATTAATTGAAAATCAGCTTAAGATATGATTACAGAAGTGTGTTTTATCTGCTAGAATTTGGACAGAGGATGGATCTTTTAAAAGCCCTAAAAGCAACATAGATCATATGGTTGGGAAACCCTTTTTTTTTATTCAGGTTCTTAGGTAGGACCCACAAACAGCAGGTCATGGTATCTGAAATTTCAACACGAGGCAAGTTGCGAGGGCCCCAGATCAGAACCAGGTTTCCAACTGGTTCCAGATGACCACAGTCCTACTTGTCAATTTGGGTCAAGAGAGCAAGCAAAAGCTGTAAATGTAACATGTGAAAACATGCCTATCTTCAGAACGACTCAATTCCATGTATGGGGTTTTTGGGCTTTTGTCTTTGGGCCAAAGACCATACCTGAAAAAGGCAACCAGATTGGTACGGCCAACACATTTGGGCCCCACTAAACAACTCCGTTATCTTTCTTTTTGATAAATTTGTGAAACCTTCCCTGAAATTTGGTAATTACATTCGTCTCTTCTGAATTTTCTGATATAATTGTAAGTAGATCCTTTTTGTTAGAATCTTTTAAAAAGAGGCATGAAAATGTTCAAAATATTTATGCAATTATTTTGATCGAAATGTTTATTTTCAAATTTTCTCTTCATGTGAATGGCTAGCCCATACCTTTATGTCATTTTTTCGAAATTGATTTATTTTCCAAATTTGGCCTTCGTATCAATCACTACTCAAATATAAAGTTGTAATTTAAAATCTTTATTTTTTGTTGTTTATAAAATTTGTATTATTTTTTTTCCTTAAAAACTAGTCTCAATAATTGCTGCATAGGTATTTTAAACATTTTTGTGTCCATATATTAAAGATTTTAACGAAATGAATGAATTTTAAAGGAGATGATTGCAGTTACAAAAACTTTAGAGGAGATTTCAGCAACAGTCAGAAAATTCAGGGTTTCAGCAAATTACCCTTTTTCTTTTAAATCTTTTTTTTGTTGCGATCTGACCACTTTCTAACTTACTATTGGAAGTCGTTGGTTACGTAATCCAAGTGTCTGTGAATGCTCATTCAAATAAAGAGTTGCTGACATTTGGACCCGACTGTGTCTGAGCTGGGATTAGTTGGGTTGGACTCGCCAACCCGAAACTTGGCTAGCTACCATTTCTGTTCTTCTTTGTTTTGTTTTCTATTTTTATTTTTTGGGTTTCTAACTTTCTTCGGTGGGTTAGGCATAGGCTTAGGCCCTCTTATTAAATTAAACAAAAGAACATCAGAAATCATATAATAATAATAATAATAATAACAATAATAATAATAATAATAATAATAATAATAATAAAGATTCGGGTAGGGTGGGTGGGTCGGGTCAAGAAATCTAGCCAACCCAATTCAATGGATTCTCGGCTGGAAACTGAGTGTGCCATCCGTACACAAAGTGAGAATGCGCGTCACGTAAAGAAGAAAGAGTTGCAGAAGCTTAGAATCAAAGCAAACAAAGATCTAGGAAACAAAATAAATATATAGACTACAGTTAAAAGAAAGCATTGGCTTTGTCGTGGAAGCTTAGAATCAAATCAAAAGAAGAGAAAACCAAATAAATATAAACATATACACAGACAATTCTTAGTTAAAAGAAACCATGGGCTTTTCACAGTTTACAAATTAAAATATCACATCCTCAGTGTCCCATAGAGATGCGTTATGTGCAAATGAATCAAATGGATCCTTAATGCTTTTGGTTGGATTATGTGGTTTTTGCCCAGAATTTTTGTTGTTGGATCAAGCCAAGCCTCTCTCATCCATGCAAAGAAACTAGTAGCCATAAGGAAGAAGAAAGCTCAATATTCTGCCATAATTCCTTTCTCTTCCTTGCTGCACCACCAAATGCAGAAGGAAGGAAGGAGATAAAAGGGAGAGATTATAACAAGCAGTCAAAGAACTGTTTTCTGGTCTTTGTTCTTCTTGTTGAAGTGATGTGGCAGGTTTCTCTTCCCACTTCTGCAAGTTATTCAACAGCACTCCCTGTTCTTGGATTGGTTCATGGACACAAGAAACCTCCATTGAATCTCCCTTGCACTGCTCGTTCGAGTATGTGTGTATCCAGTTCACAGGACTCAGAATATCCCACTACACAGTACCCTTCACTAAATCAGGTACATTGAATTATTCATACAGAACGAATGCAGTACATGTTATTTCTTTTAACCATTTTAGTTTAATATTTTCTTGGTTTTGGAGGAATTTGGTTCTGGGTATTTCTGAATTCAGCTGGTTAATGCATTAACTCATATCGCAGAGTGTTGCAGCCATTGTATTTGGAGATGGATCAGAGTCAAGGCTCTACCCATTGACAAAGAGGAGATCCAAAGGGGCTATTCCCATAGCAGCAAATTACAGGCTCATTGATGTAGTTATGAGCAACTGCATAAACAGCAATATAACCAAGATATATGCTCTCACGCAATTCAACTCCACCTCGCTTAATTCTCACCTCTCCAGAGCTTATTCTGGAGTTGGTCTGGGGAAAGATGGGTTTGTTGAAGTTATAGCTGCGTATCAGAGCCCTGAAGAAAAAGATTGGTTTCAGGTTAATTTGCACCTATATATGACAATGAGAAAACAGTTTTCTCCATTCAATTTAGTCCTACTTTTGATCTATTTTACTGGGTTTTCATATTGTCTTCTTCAGCCTACTGTTTCATTGTTTTTGTATGATTTATTGATTTGATCAAACTTCTTTCTGCTCTTCTAATTCAGGGAACTGCTGATGCTGTTAGAAGATGCTTGTGGGTATTGGAAGAATACCCAGTAGATGAGTTTCTGATCCTCCCTGGTCACCATCTCTACAACATGAACTACCAGAGACTAATAAAGGCCCACAGGAGCAGCAATGCTGATATAACAATTGCTGTTTCTTCTACCACTATTGGGAATCATGATCCAGGTTTTGGCTTTCTAAATATAAACTCAGAAAATCAAGTTGTTGAATTCAAAGAGAGGCCAGAGAGGGAGCCAGTGGATTTCATGGCAGTAAGTGTTGCTTTGCTTTCATACACTTTTGTTTCTGTTGCTTCAAGAAAGAAAGAAAACTCTAACGTAGATATACGTGACAAAAAATTATTCACCAGGTGGATAGCTCAAGAAAATCTGAGGATGGTTCTACTTGTGATTTGGGCAGTATGGGTATCTATGTGATTAAGAGGGAAGTAATGACAAAGCTACTAACAGAGTGCTTCCCAAAGGCCAATGACTTTACAACTGAAATAATACCAGGAGCAATTTCCATGGGAATGAAGGTCAGCTTTCTGGGTTTAATAAGCCTAACTCATAGGGACTATCTTAAGATATAGGTATTCCTTTGGTGCCCTTACTTTCTAAACTAAGTTCATTGGCATATTCTTCTCTTGGGTTGGATCAGGTTCGGTCTTATTTATTTGATGGATATTGGGAGGATATGAACAGCATCAAATCATTCTATCGAGCCAACATGGAATGTACGAAGAAAGAAACCTCGGGGTTCAAGTTAGTAACTTCAACTACCAGGAAGGAGTGAAAGAATTCTATATATAGTGGAGTGATTTGGGCACATCCCACTTTTGATATTGATTTTCACCATTTTACATTGTTGTTTGTTTGTCTTTCTACACAATGGATGTTCTCAAATCAGTCCTAAAATGAGGAATAATTCCAGTCTTTCTACACTTTATTGAGCCCCTACCAACTAACCCAAGCTTTTCTTTTGATGGCAGCTTCTATGATAGAGATTCTCCAGTTTACACTCTTCCAAGGTATCTTCCTCCTACTTTGGTGACTGGTGCTCACATAACAGACAGCATCATTGGAGATGGTTGCATTCTCAATGTAAGGACTTAATTTAAGTTCTTTTAGAAAGCTCAATTCATCCACATTCGTATATAACTAAGTTATATATACATCCAAATTTCTGCATGTGTGGACATAGTGGACATGGCCATGCTTGATATTACCACATGGATTCCACGTGAAGTGGAATCATTTCATTTCAGAAATGGGTTCATTTTAGCCCATTAAGGTTTTATTTGGTACCATTACTGTTTGTATCTGAATTGTTTTGAATGATTAATACAAATTGACATACAACTGTTATTTTTGTTATTTTATGTTGCTTATAATTGAAACATACCTTAGAAACCAGTGCTATAAATGGATCGAATCCAGCTAAATTCGCACCCCATCCAATTATCGGATCCAACTCCGGTCCAAGTTCAATATTTTGGATTTGATTGGGTTTGGATTTAATCTGCATCCACCTTATTAGGGAAAAAAAATTTAAGAAGTAAAAAAAATTAATTAATCCTTTTTAACTTATACGTATATAGAAAATGTATATAAATATAAAACATTAAATTTATCATCTATAAGATTTACATAATTATATATAATTATAAAATGTAAAATTGCTGTTTCAAGTAGAAACATCAAGGGCAATGGTGATATGATAATACATATCTCTCACCACTTTGCATTGATCAATCCAAATGGCAATGGTACTAAACACAAACCTAAGATAAGAAAAGCATTTGGTTCAAAAATAAATGAGAAACAGAAAGTTGTAAGAAAGATCTGATTGAATTTCATAAATTTTTTTTCCAGTATTTTTATGAAAAACCAAAAAATCCAATATTTGAACTGACTTAAATCCAGCATTTTGTTAACAACCAAAATTTAAAGGGAAACCAGAACAAAATCAATTCATTTAATGTCATCCAAACATGTCTAATTGCATGCATGTATCACACGGAAATATAAATATGTGATAACATATTTACATGAAAATCTTCATCTTGTTTTACTAGTGATTGCTAGAATTCTGATCTTTAGAACAAAAAGTAGAGTTGCAGGATCAAGGGTTCAGTAATTGGCATGCGGACATGGATTGGAGATGCAGCTGTGGTTGAGGATTCAATGATCATGGGATCTGATGTATACCAAGTAAGAAACATCTTGAATACTACTTAGGTTTGCTTTTGAACCATCTGGAAATGGAATTTTGGTTTTTGTAGGTTTTATATCCGTAGGCAATAACAAGCTGTTTTTAGTAAGGGTGAGCAATGGATTTATTCAGTTAAAAATCGAACTGAATAAATCAAAATTTTTAAAATCGAACCGAAACCAAAATTTTCAGTTTGGTTTTTTGTTATTTCAATTAAAACTGAATTTCATTAATATATTAATACATTTTAACATATTAATATGTATAATAAATTTTAATTTTTCGGTTTTAATCGAACAATGCTCACCCCTAGTTTTTGGTTCCCTCAACTTTCTATTTCTCTTTTATGCCCTGGAAACCAAGCATAGCCTAAATGAAATGATCAAAGAAACAAATCAAACACATGAGCACATTAAAATCCTGAAAATGACCTATTTTTATTATTTCTAGGGTTTTATCTATGATATATATGATCCAATATCCTTGTTAATCCCTATAAATTTGAATCACTGATAGACTCATTTCAAATACTATGAATTTGAAAAGACATGAATAAGTGGGTTCAGAATTCCACTGGCCTCATGGCTGAGTACTTACAGGGAGATCGAAGAATTAAAGAAATAAATGGCATGGAAATCCCTATTGGAATCGGGAAAAGCTCTCACATAAGGAAAGCCATTATAGACAAGAATGCAAGGATCGGCAAAAATGTCAAGGTATTGTTTAGTGCAAGACAAACTTCCATATTTATCTCTGTTTTCTTCAATTTTAATGTAGTTTGGAAATATCAAAAGAGTTCTGAAAAGTGATCAAACTAAAGGGTTTTATTCAGCTTTTCAAAATCAATAATAAAAGAAAGACTACTATCTTAAATCCTGCCTTCCCTTTTGTATACCATTTTAATAATTAAAATGTCATTTTTTTTCTTTTTTCTTCGTGGGGTTGAGTAATTGTCTTTCTTGTGTCTGTGGATAAGGAATTTGTCTCTTTTAATTTGGTGTTTTGTAGATTATAAATAAAGACAATGTCCAAGAAGGAGATAGGGAAGCTTTTGGGTATTTCATCAGTGAAGGAATTGTCATTGTTTTGAGAAGCGCAGTGATCCCGGATGAAAGCATTATATGAGAGTGATGCAGCTAGCCCATAATTTTAATTTTCTTTGCCTATTCTTGTAAGGAAAAGTAAATTGTTCCTTTTTTTTGTCATTTTTCATTTTGCCATCAATTCAATATGTGACAAGTTATTCATTAGCTGGTAATAAAATTTCAATAATCATTCATCAGTTTTTACCCAATTACATCTGCAATGGAATCCATACTCCATGTTCTACATTTGTGCAACCAAACCATCTATCTGAATCCTTGAACCAGTCTCTTACAAACAGAGTCAAAAAAAAAAAAAAAAGAAAAATAAAAGGAGAAAGTTTCTCCACTGGTGGGAAAACTTGAATCAAATGGAACATCTTTACATTTTTTATCTTAGTTAAAGGATTTATTGAGGGCGTGTGGAGTAAAAAAAAACTACACACTAGGAAGGGGAAGGTGTCAACTAGTTCAGAGGCCGCCTCATAAGCGCCTCACGTGCACATCTCACCATTCATTGGGAACATCTCCCACATTTATCATAGGGAGATGTTTCTAATACACAGGTGGGAGGTGGTGTGGGGCGCCGATCTGATCTCATTGGTATGGGGACAGGCTACCACATAGTGCTGTCAATAATGGGTTGGCTTTGGTCCAGGTCTAATCAGGGTAGACCCGGTTCTGACTTGCTAACTAAATCTGCAGAACCAGTTCCAAGCCTGACTCCTATAGGGGCTGTAGTCGGGATGATTGGGTCTAATAACCTAAAAAGACCTGACTATAGTTGGCAGTAACTTATTATTAAGATAATAATATTTATTTTAAAATTCTTGTTAGTATTAATATATTTTTATAAATGAAAAAAATGATGCATTAATTTATTTATTATATTAAATCCTGAACAAGGACTACACTTCAAAAAAAAGGTTAAGAACACAAGACTCTTTATTAGAGGTGCAACTTGGGCAGATTGGGTTGAATGGAAGGTCAATCCCGTCCAACCCTAAAGATGCAAACTTTGAGCTTAGGCTTGGCCAAACCAAGGTCAAGTCCAAGCTTATCAACTCAGGCCCAACCTGACCTTAATCCAACAGAAGTAAAACTCAGCTCGGGCTTGGTTCAGGTTGAATCAGGTCAAGCTTGGGTGGGTTGGTTGAATGTTAAACATTTTTATGTCGATTTTTTATTACATGGCCCAATTTAAGAGCAGCCCAACCCTAAAGGTATAAACCTCAAACTCAAACATGATCCAAACTAAGTTCAAGTCCACGTTTATCAACCTAGGCCCAACCTGATCTTAAGCCCAATAGAACTTGGGCTGGGCTGGGTTGGGCAGGTTGAATGGGTTGGGCCAGGTTTAGGTCAGTCTTGGGCAATTAGGCCTACCCAAGTTGCACCCTTAGTCTTTATACTTCAATTTTCACTTGGTACATCTTGTGCGTCGTCACACGGGGTCCAATTTACATACATGTGGGTTTTGGTTTGAAACAACCAAACCATGCAACCCCAAACCAATTATAATCTGGAAATGTAATGGATACTCAAACCCCATATAATTGGGTTGGTATGGTTTGGGTCTGTTCAGTTTTGGGTTTACCTGACCCATTACCTGACCCCATGAATCCAAGAAATGAAAATACTCTATCAAATTAAAGGGCCATTACCTAATCCTATAGGATACTGAGAAGGGTGGATTGGTTAGGGACCTGAGCTTTCTCTTCTATGTTTTTTATTTGCCACAAAGTGGGTGCATGCTTTCCTTTAAGCTCAAGCTTACAATTTTTCACTTTTAGCTTGAGCTTAAAGGATTAGGTAATGGCCCTTTAATTTGATACTCTAGAATTTGGGTTTACCATTACACCAAGCAATAGCTTCTTATACTCTAGAATTTGAAATTATAAAGGGTGATGCCCATGATATAAATAATGCACTATAGTTGGTGCGGAACAAAATGATTGGTCTCACAGCCAGTAAAACAGCTATCAAATTCCTTTCATTAGCTAAGAACCAAGGCAAGTATCAGCATTATTCCTTTTTGTTTTTGTGGGTTGAACTGTTTTTCTTGTATCTATAAGGCATTTTTTCTCTTTTGGTGTTGTCTATATTATAAACAAAGACAATGTCCAAGAAAGGAGGATGGAACTTGGAAACTTGTTAGTACACTATCATCATCATCATCATCATCATCCATGTCTTATCCCAACAAGTTTGTTAGTACATCATCGATGAAAAAGTCATATTTCCTAAACATAAAGAAACTTAAGGTCTGTTTGGTTCACACTTGGAACTAAAATCAAAATCCTTTTGATCTAGAACGGGAATGGTCTATACCTATTGCCTGCTTAGTTCAATCAGATATTTGCAAATGAATTCTCATTCCCAAAGAAAGGGAAGGGAATGTCCATTCTCTTAAATAGGAAAATGCCATTCTAAAAAAAAAGGGAATAAAATTTTGATTCTATCCCACCAAACAATTAGAATGATATCAATTACAGCCCACTATTCTCACAGGAACCAAACATCCTTATCCTTAGATCAGTCAGGAAAAAAAAAATGAAATCTTCCTAATTATTTCCTCCCACCCTTTTTCATTTTGCCATCAATCATAAAATAGCAGAATATGTAAAACCAATGTATATTCATCCATCAAATTTTGCTATGAATAACTTCAGTCATGGCCAATCAAATCGTCAATTTGGAGTTTCTGGATTATTCCCACAAAGAGCAAAGTGTCAAGAGTGGCATCTCTGCATTTGGTATATCTTCCCTTTTAATAAACAAAAGCTTTTTGGGGCAAAAGAAAATGGCAAAATGCGCCTACTCTTTTGACTGTCTTGTCTCTGACCGGAGTTTAAGTCACAAACAGGACCATTAAATAATGCTCAACTTTGACTTTCTATGCCTTTTCTTAGTTCAACGTACGGCGCCAAATTCTCAAGAATTAAATGAAAAATTAAAAAAGAAAATCACAAAAGCTAAAGCACCTGGCCGTTGCCCCTTTTCTTTTCCACCCAAAAATGACTAGTGTAGAGTGTAGATTCAATACCTATTCTCTCCAGGGTTGTCAATGGGTCGGGTTGGACCCGAACTGATTGAATCGGTTCTGATGTGGTTCCAGGAACCGGAACCAGTGGGTTGGTTTCAAGATGATATATTATTCGGATGATATATATTAGGTGATTTGAACCTGGGCCAATAAGGATAACACACTTAACACATCCATTCTTAAGCCATGAAGGTATCCCAACATTTATATGCATATGTAAAATAAAATAACCTTTATTATTATTGTTGAAAGACAACCCAAATACACATTAAATATTTATGTTTAATAATTCCAATTAAGAATTAAAAAAATAATATTTAAAATTAGAATTTTATAAAATGATGGAATAAATAATATATCAAATTCATATTTATTTCAAAAGATAATTTTAATTTAAAGAAATTTATACAAAGATAATATTAATAATAGAATAAATATTTTAACTCTTAAAATTTATAAATTTGCACATGACTTATTCTACTAATATACATCTTTATAAAAAAAGATTTTTAACTTTAGAAAAGTTGTAGAAATAAAAATATTAATAATAGAATAATTATTTTAGTACTTAAAATTTATATATTTGCATAGAATATGTATTTTAACATTTTATATAATTTTTAAATTATTAATTAATATTTTAATTTACACTAAATTAAACACATGTTTATTATTTACAAAAATAAAAATTGTTTATAAAATATTCAAGAATATAATATTAAATAGAATCTATAAAATCTACTAATCTGCATTTATATAAAAAAAGATTTTTAATTTTAAAAATTTATAGAAATAAAAATATTAATAATGAAATAATCGTTTTAGTAGTTAAAAATTATGAATTTGCATAAAATATGTATCTTAAAAATTTTAATACATTTGATATAATTTAGGTTGAGATGATATATTTTATAAATGTTTAATTGATATTTTAATTTATATTTGATAATTTAATATTCACTTGACTTCTCTGTTAATATAAAAATGTAAAAATACTAAAATAGAGAATAACTGATATAATAATTAAAATATAATAGGATTATATGTTTTTCATTTTGGATTCTTGATTGATACATTATCAATAAGATTGTTTGGTTTTTATGTCGGATGCCAACTCCCGCAACCACAACGCAAGATGTGATCGCAAGCGACTGCACATCCAAGTGCTTCACCTTGAAGAGAAGATCCTCATCGAGAAGCACAAATTTAGTCTCTTGACTATTCTCCTCTTTCTTCTTTCCTCCTTTTCTCATCATCAACCGTTGAACTCTTCGCCAGTGACGACTGCTCTCTTCATCTCGAAATACAACCAAAAAACAAAAAACCCTAAAGAAAATTTTAGATCTCAGAAGTCTGGGTCTAGGTCTCTTCTCCCTTGCTTCTCTCTACTCATTGATTCCGTACCTTTGCTCTAAAATTGGATTTGATGACGATGGTCTGTCTGGTAATGGAAAATAGAATAGAGGTCCCCAGCCCCAAAGTCCCCAACCTCAGTGCAGAGTAATTTATCTTGTTGGGTTGAGTTATTAAAATATTTAGGATTGGGATTTGACGAAATAACAAGGGATGCCACTGATGGATGGGCATTTGTATCTTTCCACGTGCCATTTAACGGATGGTTAATGGCAGGTGAATAGTTTGTCGCGTCAAAGTAAAAGTTACTGATCGTAAATTTTCCCAAGGTAAAGTATAAAAATATATTAATATAAAGAACAAACAAAATACAAAGAAACCTGAGCTCAAAGTCAAAGCAAAAAAGAAACGGACAAAATAGTCCAAACCATTAATTAATTACTACTAATTACTAAAAATCAACATGTTTTAGATGACATCGTTAAAACTTTATTTATCATATAAATGAGTATTGGTTTTATCCAATGTTTAAAAAACTGATCCGACGAACCGTTTTTGCCTCCGGGCAAGGGTCACTGTTTTGATTAGCTGGGTCGAATGGTCCAGCTGAACGGTTTAGACTGTGCAACCTCAGCGCAAATATGTATTAAGTGTTTGTTTATATATATATATATATATATATATATATATATATTAGCAACAAACAATGTATATATATGTTTTAGATATGTTATAATATATATATTATTTTATGTTTTTAATTTTTTATTTATAAAAAATATTAAAAATTGTAAT